TGGATTTTTTTATTTTGGAAAACACGTTCGTCCGTTACTTCACACCTCCACGCACTAGGCGCTTGTGAAAGATGGCATGCGCCGAGCTAGCAGGAATTGAATTTAAAAAAAAAAATAAAAAAAAAATGCACCGGGCAACGATTTCTTGCGTGGAAACAGCGAAGCATTCGCTTCCTCGGACTGCACATGAAATTCCAAGAATGATAAATAAATAACAGTACTATCAACTATTCATTAGAACTACAATCATTTTCGGCTGCAGACCCACGAGCCGCTGAGGAGAAAAAATGCTACCTTGTTTTTCTCCAGCGGGCGTGCGAAACATAGTAAATAAAGCCTTAACAATAACAATCTATTAATAATTTAAAGTGCCCGTTCTGAGTACTGAGAACACGTGTGTATTGCTATGTTATTGTAAGTTTCTCGGTGTCCCGAAGCAAGTTTGGCCATTGCTTTCTTTCTTTCTTTCTTTCTTTCTTTTCCTTTGTTTCTATCTTTCTTTCTTCCAAATAATAATAATAATGCTATATTAGAACAAAATTCATTCTTTTGAACACGCACAAGAAGCAGCGGATGAGAAATAATGGACTACTACTCTCTTTGTTCTGCAGCACCAGCAGGGACAACTGAAATGCATTTCTTCAATGAAACTCATTCCGCGATGAACTAAACTGCACTTCACCAATCAATGAGACTTTCGAAGGAATTGCATTTCGTTTTCGTCTTCGATTTTCATGTGTTTCTTAAGACCCCGAGCAACACAGATGGAAATTGTCGTTGGCTTCCACGATGCGCGTTCGCGTGTGCATCGGTATTTCTTGCAAATGGCCCTCGAACATTAGCTCACGCTCACGACCACCAAGATGTTTTTTCTATGCCGCCAACTGTCCTGAGAAACCCTGCCGTGTGAACTGCAACGACAGCACCTTACTAATGCGCGAGAAGCGAGAATTTTTTGGAAGAAACACCGATGAGCACGCGCGCGCGAATGGATACAAGGCACTGATTGCTCATGTGCTATGGTAGTTTCGCATTATAATTAATGCACGCGTGTGAATGGGCCTCGCTCCAGTACTCACCAAATGCAGAAAATGAGAATGAATTTTCCGCTAGACCATGGGAAGATTCACCGGCAATTTTTTGTCCTTTTTCTATGCGGTGAGTAGTGGGGCTAGGCCCAATTAGTACGAGTACTACGGCTTATTTCTTTTACAACGTACACCGCTAAGAGGCCTACTTAGCTTCGGCCAAACTGGTGCTTTTACCGCTAAGGCGTTCACAAAATCCATCGATTGTGCTTTTTTATTTGGCTTATTTCTTTTACAACGCACACTCGCCTTTTCCTAGGAAAAAAAAAAAAAAAAAAAAAAAAAAAACAAACCCTTAGCTTCGGCCAAACTGGTGCTTTTACCGCTAAGGCGTTCGCAAAATCCATCGATTGTGCTTTTTTGTCCTTTTTTAAGAAGACAGACCGGCGACCTGTACTACGAGCAACCCCCCCAGTGGGAGTCCTCGGCTGCTCCACCTGTTGGTCGGGAGCTACACCAGATTGTCCGTTAAATAACTGCCAGCGCAACGCAAAAAGAAGGCGAGTACAGACATCCCCCCATGATGAACGCGTCGAGGAGGAACCTTCGCCCATGAAGAGCGTCAGCTCAAAACTTTACGTAATAGCGAAGGACATTAAAAACTCGCAATTACTAAATGATCATATTTCGTATATTTTAGTTTCAATTTTACTTAAAGCCAACGAGCCTAGCTCAGTTGGTACACCCACGCACTATTGAAATACCGACTCAAATTCGAATCCAGACACAATCAGATGCCCAAAATAACATAAAATTATGTCAGCTTCATAGATGATACCTCAAGGCAGACGCCCTTTTAAAAGGAAAAAAAAGG